TCTATTAAGAGTCAGATTTTCAAAAGAACCCAGCAGACACACACTGAAATTATAAGCATTAGGTGGACATGGAGTTTAGCTAAATGTAATACGAACATATAAAGTGGTGGAATGTGTTGGAAAAATTGCATAACTTTCAGCTTAGTACAAAAAATAAATGTACAGGAAATAAGAGCTCCAGAATGGAAAAATAGAGAGAACAGAGGCAGAATGTAGGGAGGTGCAGGCAGATGACATTAGGAAACTGAACAAAGATATGAGAAGACAGAAGAAAAGAGACTCTTGTCAACCAGGCGCAGAAGAACAAACAAGCATTTAAAACAAAACAATAAAAACCAGAGGAAACAAAGGATTCAGAAAAAAAGGACAGATTTTCTACAAGGGGATATTTCATTAGCAGTAACAGGACATGGAATACATCCCCTATGCATTGTATTTGTGAATAGATAGGCTTCATGATTAGCAAAAGGATAAATGAACTTCATTAATCCTTTAAAAGTTAAGAAAATGCATCCAGATCAATGCAAGGTTGACACAGGTTATGATGGTAGAGGTGAGGGCGGACACATTAACAAGTGCCATGGAAATACAGGCGGAATAAAGTCTCACTAACATGAAGGACACCTGATGGAACAAATTAAAAAGATAATAATATATGCTGCTTAATGGAAGCACACCTAAATTAACACTCTGCAGGAGGAAGCCCGTCCTTCGTGCAGTTGCGAGTTTCAGACACTGGGTGTTTCTCATATTAATCTCTGTACTTTCAGTATCTTTAAAATATTTCACATCAAAAATCACTTTAGAAGGAAGACAGACTATGATAAAAGATGAAGGAAGGAAGGCAGTGTGAGAAAGGCTACCAGGCAGGCAGGGGACCCTGATCCTGGGCTGTGGGAAGCCACTGGCCTTCCTCTGGGTTCTGCAGCAGCCACCACCGGCAGGAAAGGGGGCTTGTGCGGCGTCCAAAAGAGGCTATGTTCAAGAGTCAACTTGTTCAAGCTAAAAACCAGCGAGTGATGAAGCTGAGGAGTGGGTGTTTGTGGATCTCAGAAGGATGGCGGCTGGCAGAGGAGACAGGAGGATCAACACCAACACAGGGAGAGATGCAACGACTTTTAAAACTTTTGATTTAGTTGCACGGCCTTTCTTAAAGCTGAAATCTATGAACAGGTTCTCCTTGGTCTCCTTTGGAGATGATTTTTAAAATTCCCCATCACAGTTCCTTCTCCCAGCGAGTGACAGAGCCTGCGTCTCAATGTGAGGACTGTATCGGGGCTTATCCAGTGGGCAGAGGCACAGAACTGAATGAATTTCCACTCTCAGCATGGGTGATGAGGCCTCATCTCTGGGCAATCCCTAGTCCACCAATATGCCTGTGCCAACACCCTGTCCCCAGAAGCCTCTGGCAGCCCCAGTAAAGGACAGATGTTTCTCTCACATACCAGCTGGTACAGTCCTAGTCCTGCAAAGGAATTAAATTTGTTGACATTTTTGAATGGAAGGCTGATCAGCTGGCATTGGGAAATTTCGCTGAAGATGTTTCAAGCGGAGAAGGGCTCCTTTGGCCTGTGTATGCCAATGCTAATTTGTGGGGGAAGGAGGAAATCTGGTGGGAACCCCTCCAAAACTGGGGCAGATAGCTAGGAACCGCATGCATGATAATGCCTCGCCTGGCTGTTACTTCTATAAATGCCGTTGTTTTGGTTCAGTGCCCAGAATAAAATCCTTTGGAGTACAGAGGGAAAAAGACAGCACTTCTTCCTAATTGCTGAACATCTTCATCAGAAAAAATGCCACCCAATCTAAATAGTTCAGCTGCCCCACAAATCCTGGCTGCACCACACAAGATAAATTTCAGCATACCATAAATGGTATTTTGGTAAATTGAAAATGCTTACTTGGCTTTCGCAAACAATAATGACAAAGGAAAATTATTTCAGAGATTTTTCTATATATTTTATTGTTATAAGAATGATGAGTTTTTAAATATTTTATTTAAACTATAGAATGAGAATCAGCTTCTTTGAAGAAAGTCAGTTATCCTGTACTGCTCTTAAGAAAGTTCAAAAGCAAAGGTCATAATGGTAGAAAGAAGGGATAGAACTTGGAAGGGTGTTGAGCACAGACCCAAAGCAGATGGGAGCTCTAGTTCCTTGTCTCTGAAATAAGCATCCCTTCCTGGAGGCTGTGTAAGCTCTAGTCCAGATGCTCACCCCTTCTGGTGAGCAGCTTTGGAGCAAGAGTCTTTGGGTTTTCATAATGTAAATGGGTTATATCTATGTCCCAATTTCAGCCCATCTCTTACATGACGTTAGAGTTACCACTTCAGAGGGGGGAATGTTACAGTAGCCTTGATCAGGGCTAAGGCCCATTAGGGGAAAGCTATTTCTTTCTGGTCAAAAGAAATCAACCACCTTCCTTGGGTAGTGGAGACCTAATATTCCAAACTACCCAGAACATAAGAGTTAATTGAGCTGGTCCTGTCAATCATCTGACCAAGGAAGGCTGACTTACCTTAAAGCCATACTAAGAGAGGGAAGGGATAATGTGCTTTTTCCTTCTCAGAAACCTGTCCTCAGTATGGAGCCCTGGGTTAAGCCTGCCTTTCTGAATTATTCAGAAAAGTATAACCTCTCTCTCTCTCTCTATCCCTCTCTCTCTGTCTCTGTGTCTATCTCTCTCTCCCCATCTCTCTGTGTCTGTCTCTGTCTCTCTCTCCCCCTCTCTTTCCCTGTCTTTCTGTGTCTCTGTCTTTCTCTCTGTGTCTCTGTGTCTGTCTCTCTGTCTTTCTCCCCATCTCCCTGTCTCTCTGTCTCTGTCTCCCTCCCTCTCCCTGTCTCTCTGTCTGTCTCTGTCTCTGTCTCTCTGTTTCTCTCTCTCCCTCTCTCTGTCTCTCTGTGTCTCTCTCTCTCCCCGTCTCTCTGTCTGTCTCTCTGTCTCTCTCCCCCATCTCTCTGTTTCTCTCTGTCTCTGTCTCTCTCTCCCCCTCTCTGTCTCTCTGTCCATCTCTCTCTCTCCCCCATCTCTCTGTGTCTGTCTCTTTCTCCCTCTCTCTCTGTCTCTCTGTGTCTGTCTCTCTGTCTCTCTCTCCCCCGTTTCTCTGTCTCTGTCTCTGTCTCTCCCTCTCCCTCTTTCCCTGTCTCTCTGTGTCTGTCTCTCTCTCTCTGTCTCTCTCTCCTCTCTGTCACTTACTCACTGGCCAGCGCACAGGCACTGTGGGCTTCCTCACTCTTTCTGTGAAGCGCCTAGTCCCATTCCCACCACAGGGCTGCTTACAAATAGCAAGGGTTTCTCTCTTCCTCTCTCGTCGTCCTCCTTCAGTGGTTTCCAAGATTTGCAGCTTGCCCGCCCTATGGTTCTTTATTTAAACTTCAATAAAACTGTCCTCAAGCTTCTTCTGAGTTCATTTTTAAATTCCTTTATTAACAAGACAGAGTTCCTGAGAAGAGCCCCCCAATTCCACAGCAACAGTAATGGCTGATTTTCCATTTGGTGGGACATAAAGGGATCCAGCCCAAAGCACACGCTCTGCTCTGATTCTTCCCTCTGTGTCCAGGTCTCTCTTAAGAAAGGCCATCTGGGCCTGACCTGTCACAACTTGACCAAAGACAAGGGGAACAAAATATAGCTCACAGAATGCAAACAAGTATGTCCAGACCAGATTTTGCCCTTTCAGTATCTAATAATGACACTGTGTGTGTGTGTGTGTGTGTGTGTGTGTGTGTGTGTGTGTGTGTGTGTGTGTGTGTGTGTGTGTGTGTGTGTGTGTGTGTGTGTGTGTACGCATGCATGTGTGCTCAGGTACGCTTTTCTGTGCATGCGCATGTGGAAGCCTGAGGTCGAGGTCAACATCAGGCATCTTTCTCTATTGCTCTACCTTATGTTTTGAGACAGGGTCTCTCGCTGAACTTCTGAAGCTTACCATGCTGGCTAGACTAGCTGACCAGAAAGCGCTCAGGATCCAGCAGCCTCTAACTCCCACCCCCTGTCACCATAGAGATTACAGGTGCATGCTATCACACCTAGCTTTTAACATAGGTTCTGGAGATCTGAACTTGTGTGTAGCAAGTCCATTAATACTAAGCCAACTCTCCAGCCCCAATAATGGCATTTAAGAATATTAGAAGTGCGCCTATTAGTCTGAGGATACGCAACAGTTGAACACTTGCCTAGCAGACCTAGGGCCCTGGGTTTGATCTCTGACACTGCAAAGAACACGATAGGGAAAGCTACATCCATGAAATTCAACACCCTGGTGGCCTAAACAAGTCCTGCATAATGACAACACCAGTTGACATGCATGCATGGATGGGGAAATTTCACAAGATCCCACCTCTAGGTGAAGAGCTACAGGTAACAATGGATGCTGAGGGATGAAGAATCAGTTTTCTCCAGGAAAGAGTTCCCTAATAGGTTACCAATCCCAAGCGTTCAGCCCTAGATCTATGTACACACAAGCACCACTCAATGAACTCAGTAGGTGATGTATATATGTGTATACATATATGTGTATATGAAACAATAATAATCTAAGAAGAGATTATCAAATTGTAAGGAGTAGGAGGGCTTTGGGAAGAGTTAGAGAATGGATACCAAGGGGTGGAAATGACATAAACACAGTGCTTATGTATTAAATACAAAAAAAGGAAAGAAACAGAATGTGTAGCAATTATGCTATTTGGGGATAAGGAATACTGGTCTAAATTTTCTAGATTGGGAATCAGAGTAACACCAAAAATCAAAGAAAGAAGATCAAATTTATTTATAGAAAGTCTTATAAAATGAGTCAGAATATACCCACAGAAAATTCAATTATAGTAGCTAAGCAATGGTGGCCAACATAACCATCAAGATCACATGTCACCTATCTATCATTGTGGTGTGATGAATGGTCCGTAAGGTTGGAAATTAGCATCCTTGCATGACCTTAATCTGCTCAGTCTCCAGTGGCGAGGCCCAGCAGCCTAGACTCCCATGGGAAAACCATGTGTACTTACTTTGGCAGCACAAGAACCTGCACGATGAAGATGCAGAGGAAGATGAGGCAGGCGCACGTCACGTAGTACTTGAACGCTGGCAGCGCCGTGGCTCGGTACTGAGGGAGAAAAGGACACTGTGAGTAATGGAGCCTCACAGAACCGCTGCACACAGTTATCTAGCACTCTGTGTTTGGGGAAAGACCAAACTTGTAGGTTTAAGCATCAACACGCCATGACTGCTCATCTTGGGCCTCCGGAGCTCCCCGCTTTTAGATGAACTACCACTGACTTGCAAAGACCACAACTTAAGAGCGCCAGTACTCAGAAGTTCATTTATATGTGATAGAAACGTGACGGTAAGGAGGGATGCCCCAGCAGGAATCTGAGGGAATGGGATGGATCAATGGACATTATGAAGGAAGGTCTAGCCTCCCCAGTGAGTTTCATGCCTATCATTATTTGGGGAAAAAGCGTGACTTTTCACATAGTGACTTTCAAACAGTACAGAGGAAATGACAGGCAGGTGCAATGCATGAATTTTAACATTTTATTTCCTTGTTTATCTCAGTGTTACTTAGTATTGAGTGATGAAGGAAGACAAAAGGTCTGTGGGGTTTGTTCTGAGGCTAGCTCATGGACGCTCCTTCTTGTCCACTGCAATCAGCAGGGGTTGTGCCTGTGATGCAAGACCACAGACTGACCAGTGCTGGCTAGGAGGTAATTACTAGGAGTGATTAGGCAGGAAGACAAAGGTAAGCAGCACTGCACTGGTGATGGTGGTGGTCTCTGTTGCAGGAAGTCCGTACTCTACTGGCTTTATGAAACAAATACACAGTCCTGCCCAGAGTCTCACAGTGAGGTGGAAACTATTGCTGTCCCTGTTTTTGGCTGAAGGAACTACAGACCAGAATGATTAAAAGTCTAAAGGACTATGTGTTATTAACAATCATCTCACCCCTGTGACTGCAGTGGGGAACCTGGATCCTCACTGAGGAGGATCCTCAGTGAGACTGAATTCAGGCCTCCAAAAGGAGAGTTCATGACAGATTTAAGGGAAACCAGGGCTGGAGAGACGGCTCAGTGGTTACGAGCACTGACTGCTCTTGTAGGGGACCTGGGTTCGATTCCCAGCACCCACATGGTGGCTGCAAACCTTCCTTAACTCCAGTTCCAGGGGAATCTGGAGCCCTCTTCTGACCTCTGCGGCACTGCACGACACGGGTGCACTCACATACATGCAGGCAATACACTCATACACATAAAATAAAAATAATGAAATATTTAAAAAATTTTTAAGGGAAATCAACTTTTATGACAATGGCATTGTAACCTCTTGCAAATACTACCAGGCTGTGCCAGTTTTATTTGCCCAGACTGTTTCCTAGGTTGTAAGGAAGCTAATGCATTTCTTGCATTTGAGCTCCTCAGGTTTTGGTGCTGAAAATAAGCTATCCCTCTGCTCTCTTGATGATTCTTGATGTGTCTTACTGTACTGGCTCTTTTGCAGGAAGTGCAGGCCATGACAGGTGGATGTAAGTGTACTTAGCTCTAGATGTTCTTGAAAATTTGCTTTAGTGTCGTATCTGCAAATATGTACACGTGGGGACTGTGCACACAATTGCTGAAAAGCTGCATTCTTAACGATGATCGCTCTCTCCTTATTAGAAAGTTTTCTTGATGAGTTTTGTGACTTAAGAGCCAGGACAATTTACATGCTGATGAAGATGCTATATTAGCATAATTGCTGAAATGTGATTATATCCTATGCATCCAATTACTTCTTATCTTTAACTTCTCCAGGGCCTTGTGCAAAGACAGTTGGAATTTCTTTTTGGTGTGAGCCTAGGAGATGGGCTTCTGGAAGCAAGGTGGAATAATGGTGCAGTCAATACTGAGTAGTTGCTAATGAGTGTTGCAGTCACTCAGGAGTGAGACAATTGTTAATAACACATTTTATTAAGCATTAATTTGGTACCTGTAGTGAAAGTATTTTACTAAAAAGCTGGCAATTGACCTTTTTGATCGGGAACAGACAGGCGGGCCTGTAAATTCCAACCCTGATGGATTTTCAAAGGACTTGTATCATCTGTGCTTTTTCTCAATATCCACAAAGCAATGAGCTGAGTCTTCTGAACAGAATTTTCATAGAAGTTGTGCAAATGCTACCATGGATCTAATCACTTCATACACACTGAGCCTGTGATTGTGTGGTTGGACGGTCGAGATTATTCCGAATCCTGTTCCTTCTCTAGACAAAACAGAAGGTGAATGAAGTAAAGCTGGACTACGGGAGGACTGCCTTTCCTGTGGTGACTACGGGAGGACCGCCTTTCCTGTGGTGACTATGGGAGGACTGCCTTTCCTGTGGTGACTACGGAGGACTGCCTTTCCTGTGGTGACTATGGGGGACCGCCTTTCCTGTGATAATTACTTAATTGTTTATCAGATGTGTGGAAAGTAAACACCTGCTACTTACTTCAACCTAACCCAGCTCTTTGGGCGTCACAATATGAACCTATCTAGACACAGCAAAATTAAGTTTGGGCTTTCTAGTGCTTTCAAATGCTGCTGGATATAAAACTCATACTTTTGTCAAAATATTAAAGCAATTTGTGTAATGACATTGTGAATTTATCAGGACAATTTTTTTTTTGAAGCAGTCTCTGAGACATTTTCACACTGAGAAAAAGCCAGACATTGGCTCCCGCCTTTTATGTCATGTTCTCAGACATCGTTCTGCGTGCAGAGATGCTGGCGGGTCAAAGAAAGACCTTGGTAACAAGAAATGTGCTGCCATAATGCCTCGGGGTATAGGGGTGACCATAATCGGGATGTACTATGCGCATGAATGAAACTGTCAGAGAAAAAATCAAAAGAGGCTATAAAACAGATATGAGTAAAATTATTTAATAAAAGCTGTATACAACAAAATCCACCCATTCTCATGAATTAAATAAAAACTGCTATTTCAGAAAGAAAATCATTCAACTTTGAGAGGAAAAATGGCTTACTTCTTTCTCTATAATCTTGTTATAGAAAAGCAGAGAGATTCTTTGAATGTCCTCAGACTTGAGCCATTGCCTAGAAATGAGAGACAGACAGCATCAAACCAAAGCTCCAACCAAACATCTGGAACTGCTTTTCTTCTTGTTCTTCTTCTTCTTCTTTTTTTTTTTAATATAAAAATGACTTGCGTTCTTCATTCCTGAATGTAAGCCCTGCCAAACTGAGTAACTTTTGGTGTATAAAACCAACTTATTTGGTATGGATTCCAGAAATGGTTACTGTGACCTATAAATGTAACATGCATGGTCACGGACTGTTTTTGGAAAATTATGTATTATGAACTGTCATATTAGATTGAAGCTAAAGTTGCCCAAATTAAATAGGGAGAAAAGCCAACAAAGTGATTCTACTATGTCAATAAATTGACCCATGAGGTTTTAATGAAGTCAGAAAGAGGCTGCGTCTGCTGGAGGGCTTAGCATGTACAGATGATGTTCCACCCTTAGCTTTGGACAGCACTGCACCACAGCATCCTAAATGCTCAGAAGCTGACAGGCTCTGGGTGAGAGAGTAGTGCTTCCCCACATTCGCAGAAAAACCCTTTCATTGTGATTTTTCTCATTTCATGGGAGAAAAAAGTTGGAATGCAGGTTTCAAAACATGGCTAAAAATAAACAACTATGTGCAAATATTGCTGTGATATGCTGACTTAAAGTCCCCGGGGTATATTCCTAGGAATGGTTTAACTACTTCATATGGTGGATCTATTTTCAGTTTCTTCAGGAACATCCATACTGATTTCCATAGTGACTAGACTAATTAAAAGAGAAATCTGTCTGAGAATCAAGGGAAGGGCTTAATGGATGTGAGGACAGGAAGGAAGCAGTTGCGGAACATGAAATATTTCATATACTTGCATGTGAACCCAGTACCATGTACAATGACTGTATCCCTCAAACTGCCACAAATGCTGATAAAATGATCCACTGGTTCATAATGCTGACACAAACATAAAAAATCACATGCATAGGCATACATAACAGATTCAAAAGCAAATAAAATCATATGGGTGCATGCATTCTTCCACATAATCAGCTTTCACAAGTCTGTTTTAAGAAGTTGTAAGTACAGTATCTCTGTGATGAATTAGAGAGATATATGATGGAGAATTTTGAGGATTCATGGAACAGGAGGATGTGAAATGGTTCTGTGTGACAAGCACTCATTCCCTCCCAATTCGTTAGGTTTCTGGGGGCAGACTCACATGTACGGTGATGGTTAGTACACACTGCTCAGGGGGTGGTGATGCTGAGGTGGGATTTCCAGGGTCTTGGCCCCCTTGGCTGTTTTACATCCACTGCCAGACTTTCAACATAAGCAGCCCGACTGACTCAGAAGACATAACTACCAACAGAACATTTTAACCGAGGCTCAAAAGTCACTAGGGTACTCCAGAGCTGCTACCATTAAAGGTGCAGTCTGTAACAACACTGCTGCTTTGAGGGTTATAAACTGAATGCATCAAAGACATATTTTTGGTGCTTCTCATTACTGCAACAGATATGGACTTATCTGGTTGTCCTGTTTTATGACACTATTGGATGGAATCGGAATCAAGGGCTAATTCCTACTAAAAGATACAGAGAATAAGTTTTGAGATAAATTTTATTTTCTACTTAATTTTTTTATTACATTTTTATTCACTTTGTGTGCATGTGCATAGGCACATGCATTCCACAACCAATGTGTGGAGGTTAGAGGACAACTTGGGGGCATCAGCTCTTGATAGTATGAGTCCCAGTGAATGAACTCAGATCTCAGGCTTGGTGGCAAGCCATCTCACTGGCCCAAGACAAATGCTAGATATATTTACTGTTGCAACTGTCTTTATCAGAATATGAAATACATGCAGATGGGGTTGGAGAGATGGCGTAGCAGTTAAGGGCACTGGCTGCTTTTGCAAAGGACCCAAATTTGATTGCCGGCACCCACAAGGTGGCTCACAACCATCTGTAAGTCCAGTTTTGGGGAAATCAGACAACCTCTTCTGACCTCTGTGAGCATTACATGACACCCGTGCACTTACATACATGCAAGCAATACACTTATACACATAAAATAATAGTAACAGGAATAAAATAGTTTAAAAATAGTATAATGCATGCAGATAAAGCATTTTTCTTTAAAGAAAAATATAATTTAAAATGCTCCCAGATAATGTAAATTTGTAGATAAAATAAGTGTGAAGTTTATAAGGTAGAAATAACACCAGTTCCCCCTTTATTATACATGTGTCCCCCCTGTCCAGGGTCCAGGTACTGTGTTCTGCAGGTAAACGGGAAGGTCTCAGGACCAGGATTTATCTACCTAGTGTCCCCAGAGTGCAACATGGTAGTGGACAAGCCTTGAGCACCCGAGGAAGTGACCAAATTCACCTACGGCTTCTTGCTTGAGGCAGGAGGTGATGGGCCCGTCTAAGTGATTAAGAAGGCTATACTTTCCCATAGACTTAGTCTCTATGAAGCCTCTGGTGGACTCTGAATTCCCTCTAATGAATTGTGAGGAAGTCAGAGTTAAGGGGCTGGACAGATGGCTCAGCAGTTAAGAGCACTAGCTGCTCTTGTAAAGGACCTGGGTTCAATTCCCAGCACATGGGGGCTAGCAACCATTTGTAACTCCAGTTCCAGGGGTTCGGGTACCGTCTTCTGTCCTCCTTGAGCATTGCATGACATAGGTCCACTTACATACATTCAGGCATTACACTCATATACATAAAAAAGTCAGATTTAATAATATGATTTGGCTATTTGACATGCAAGGTTGGTGCTCTCTCCACTGAGATGCATCCACAGTACTGATTTGGTTATTTGACTAGAAAAGATTTATGTGGGCTGATAAGGTCAGACATAGAACATGGAACTATAAGGAGATAGGAGGCCAGAGGAAAGGGAGGGGAGGGGAAGGAAAGGGAGGGGAGGGGAAGGAAAGCCTGAAGGGATGGGGGGAGGGGGGAGGAGAGGGGAGGGAAGGGGAGGGAAGGGGAGGGAAGGGGAGGGCAGGGAAAGAGAGGGGAGGGGAGGGGAGGAAGACAGGAGGAAGGAAGGAGACAGGAAATCCATGTGTGCATTACTCATGGTCTTCTAATGCTTTCCCATCCCAAGTGGTCTAGGGTGTGAAGAAACTGAATCCTATCCCTAGGTTAAGTGCTTCCTTGTAACTCTGGCAAAAAAGAAAGAAAAAAAAGGCAAAAGAATAAAAGTTCTCAAAGAAAGCTGAGCATGGTGAGGTACACCTTTAATCCCAGCACTTGGGAGATCAAGGCTAGCCTGGAATACATAGCGAGTTCTAGGCCAGCTAGGGCTACAAGGAGACTGTCTTAAAAAACAATAATAAAAAAATCTCAACCCCCCCCCCAAATCCAAACCCCAAACACAAAACAAACAACCCCACCCCTCACACAAAATAAGTTCTTAACGCACCGAGGACGCAGAGATAGTGAGCAGCCACTTTCCTATTGAATGTTTGTGCCCTCTCAATTTCCTATGTTGAAGGCCTAACCTCTAACATGGTATATTGAGAGAGGGGCCTCTGCGGGTGTAGTTAAGGATAATAATGTCATAGGAGTAGGCTTGGAACTTACGTGGTCACTGTTCTAAGATCAGACAAGAGGGAGCTCCTGTCCTTGCCACCCTGTGCTCCCTGGAAAATAAAGCTGCTGTGTTGGTGGCTTTGGTGCTGTGCAGAAGCTGATGTCTGCTAATTGAGTAACTTAATACATGACAATCTGCACAGAAATCACTGTTTTGCATCCACAGCAGAAGAAAACGAACTGGTAAACTAGCCGAGAGCCCCATTGGAATCCTCAAGTAGAAATTAAAAGATCCAAAGATCGTAGCAAAGCCAAGATGAGCTAATGATGAGGATGCGACAATACGCGATTGATGCAAAATAAAAGCACAGGACTAAGAGCTTCTAAACAGTTCCCTTTTATGTTTCTAGTACATAATGGAGTTTTACTCTATTTTGTTTGTGAAACATGTTGGAAAAATTATGACAGAAGTGGTTAAGGCAACACAAAGCATCATTTTAGAAGGAAACTGTACGGGAACATGGAGGTTTCAAGCTAACATGTTTGAATACTAAATGATGCAAAGCAAACTCACAGTTCAAAATTTTTACCTCAATAAAAATAAAGCAAAGCCAACAATAGTTCTTTCTAATAGTCCCTTTGGACAAACTCTCTAAATGTGGCGAAGTAGCTTAGGGAGACTGGGCTCCTATGTGAGCACATGCTGAGGCTGGATTTAGAGCTTGAGCTTTTAGTATTTACTATTGCAGCTAATAAACTCTGTCAAGGACAAGATTATCGCTCCCCTCTAATGCATGTTATTCTGTGGGAACACAGAGCATCCTCTGCTATTTACTGTTGGACGACTGCGCTGTATGGGATCAGATGTTGGCCCTGGTGTTGGCTACTGGTAGGTCACAGGTACTGTGCTGCTTCTTTGTAAAGTGCTGAAGATTCCGGTGCAGCAGAACTCAGGCTATTTGTTCTAAGAATCCCAGAGCCAACAACACAGAGAATCTACCAAACACTACAGGAGACCAGGGGCACTGGGGAAGGTGGAAGGCTGTGTCAGTTTGGAACACACGAAGGAGCTCTGGGAGATGATAATTACACAAACCACATACAGGAACTGTAATTCTTGCTTGATGAGGATGCTGTATTGCATAAATATAAACTGACAGACAATTCTAGAAAATGCATTTACCATTCTTTCATAAATCCTGCAAGTATTCTGAATATTTATTTGGGACAATCTGGTTTTCATGCTGCAAATTAAGTAGGTTACTCTAAGGATTGAAAATCTGAAGTATTTTAAAAAATATTTTATTTATTATTTTTATTTCATGTGTATGTGTGTATTGCTTGCATGTAGGTAAGTGCACCCGTGTCGTGCAATGCCTGTGGAGGACAGAAGAGGCCATCGGATCCTGTGGAACTGGAGTTATGGACAGCTGTTAGCTGCCATGTGGGTGCTGGGATTAGAACCTAGATCTTCTGCAAGAACAATCGGTGTTCTTAAACTCTGAGCCATCATCTCTCCAGCCCCCAGATCTGAAGTGTTTTCATGGATGCTCACTATAATTTTTTAAAAGTTGACTATATGTCTAAGTGTGTTGGGTATCACATTTTCCTTTTGCTCTCTGTGACACAGCTGAGTTCCCCAACAACAAACTAGAGTGTTCAATAACACAGGTGAGTCTTCTATGACACAGGGGTGTCCTCTATGACACAGGGGAGTCCTCAGTGACAAAACTGAGTCTTCTATGACACAACTGGGTCCTCTGTAACATAGCTGAATCCTGTATGACAGAGGTGAGTCCTCTATGTCACAGCTGAGTCCTCTCTAACATAGCCGAGTCCTCTGTGACACAACTGAATAATCTATGGCACGTGACTAAAGGAAATGCAAAGGCTGCTCAGACAACCTTTCTGTCTAGGGTGTGAGGGCCTCACTTTTTTCAAATTGTTGTTTTAGTTCTCCACATCTTTTAGATTTGTTAAAACTAGAACTGAAACCAAGACTCAGAAACAACTGACCTGGTAAGGTATGTCCACTGGTGCAACAGTGGCACAAACACTATGAGAGTAACCAACCACTTTCTGATTAGATGTAAGGTTTGCTTCATAGAATGGAGCCCATACCTGGCACTGATATTAGGCCTAGGAACCTGAGGCTAGGTAACTCATAGGTCACGGGAGAGGCCCTAATATGATTATTCTTCTAAATATATATAGTATTAAACTGACTCCTAATGAATTATTTTTTTACACATAGATAACAGCATTTCTCATCTCTTAGCAGGGCCAACACTGTTTAAAATGTGAAAGAAATACAATTAACAGAAGCTATTATGAAGGACAATTAGGCTGTCATCAATGAATTGTCTGAGACATCTTAGGTTTGTCATGGTAAGGACAACAGAGCTGACTGTTAAACACTTGGAAAATATGACATCCTTTTAAAATATTAACATACGGTGAATTAAGGCAAAAATACTCACTTTTGTGCATTGATTCCATCAATTGCTTGGATCATCCTTTCATTCAATTCTTCTTCAAATCTTTTCTTTTGTGACTTAGTTCTATGTAGAAAAATATTAATGGTGAAAATATTAGTAAATACTAGGCCCAGTTCTCTATGGCTACAAAGCATAAACGTACACTATGGGTTGAATGAATTGACTCCAGTGTTTAAGTACAGTAAAGATGTTGACTCACTATTTGTGAACTATGACACTCAGTAGGCATTCACATCAATGCTCCAAGGCCTTATTGGAACATGCTAGCTATAGACACTTTCCTACAAAAAATTGGTTTGCTTGGTCATTAGTTTTCCAACTATTTTTAGCAGGTTTTAAATAATTTGTACAACTACAGTCTTATTTTAGGCACATCAAAGTTTAATTATATATAATGTATTTAATACCATTGTGCATAAATGTCAGTCTTCTTCAGTTTGAACAAGGGATATGAACCCCACTTGTATTTATAGACTGACATATGACCCCCTTGGTCTGAGAAGTAATCTTTAACCATAATATAAGATGGTTTCTAAATGAATTGTGCTAACTAAAAACGAGAGCTCCTCCCCCCAGAAAACTTGGTGGTTGATGTGATAATGACAAGGAGAAGAGTGACTGGCACCTATCTTTAAATGGTAACTATTTCCTGCAAAGATGAAGAGCACAGGTTGGTCCTTGCCAGCTGATCTAACTAATGCTGTGCCTGTCTTCAGATACACCATGATCCCATGCATTCCAGATGGTTAGTTACTAAATAGGTAGATTTGCTAATCTGGAATAAAATTAGCTCTTTCCTGAGCTCAGATCTGACTGTAGATACAGATAAGAATAGTATCAAACGTCTAATGCCACATTTATCATTTATCCCAAGTCTCACAGAATTATCAATGAGACACGAATATTCTTATTCTGTGTTCTGCCTTGGGGCCTCTGCTTCTGCCTTTTTTGTAAAGGGCCAAGGGCAATCTTCATTCCAAAGCAAGAACGTATTCAATGATCTAATTACAGACATCAAGCCAAGTCGATTACGAGGTTAGCACAGCAAATTCTAATCCACTTGAAGAAGGCAAATTTTGGTTGTGTTTGCTTATTTTCTCTTTAATATAGGATATACACTGAAAAATCATGTTTCGAAAAAAAATACCAGAACCTTATCATACTTTTAACACAAGGATGAAGTATTACATTTTATGCTAAAATACAAATTAGTGCTCATTGCCATGAACAGTCTTGTGGAGAGGCTCTAGGAAAACAGAGCCTTGCCATGTCTTTACATTTTACCTGGATTCAATGCACTTTCCTCAACAAAATATTTTAGATCTTATATTTTTCTTCATATGTTAGAACTTAAAACTGACCTTTCTGTAGGAAAAGTTTCCTAATGTTAACAACTTTTTAAAAAAAGTTTAAAATTTTACATGTATGAGTGTTTTGTCTGCATGTGTGTAAGTGTACCCATGCATGCAATGCCTGTGGAGGCCAGAAGAGGATGCTGGATTCCCTGGAACTGCAGTTATAGAGGGTTTCTAACTGTCATGTGGGCACTGAAACCAAACCTGGGTCTTCTGCAAGAGCAACAACTGCTCTTAACCCCCAGCCATCCTTCCTGACTTGCTGCCTGAACTTCTGTGTCAATATCTCACAATAATTATCGCAACTTTCTAATACTGGTTTGGTTAATTACCAAACAGATATTACAAAAAAACAGAGCCCCAAAGACAGAGAGATGTATGGCTAACTAAAAAAGATAATGGGGCTGGAGAGATGGCTCAGCGGTTAAGAACACTGATTGTTCTTGCAGAAGACCCAGGTTCGAATCCAACCACCCACATGGCAGCTAACAACTGTCTATATCCAGTCCCAGGGGATCCATCCAACAGCCTCTTCTGACCTCTGTGGGCATTGTACAACACGGGTGCACTTACCTGCATGCAGGCATAACACTCATACACATAAAATAAAAATAATAATAAAAAATTAAAATAAAAGATAGTGACATGATTTTTATGGGACATGTGGGCAAATTCTTGGGAAGATTTTCCCTTTTAAGCACATGGGCACCCATAGAGGAGCTTGGCTCATCTTCAGGATTCAATACTAACATTAATTTTGAGCAGAAATGAGACAGTTGAAAACAGTTCAGTTTTCAAAACTGTGTATTGTGAATAGAAAGAGTTGTTTCAAGAAAAACTTTAACATTGCAAAAAGACTACCAGGTGGTGTTTTCTTTCGTTCATGCTTGAGCCTAATAACAAGACACTAATCTATTTTGAGAAGCCCGGCGTAATTTGATAGAGCTCTTCACTGTAGCTGCTCTTTTAAAAAAGACACTTTTGAAGTGACTGTAATTGATGATAATTACTCTCAGAAACAAATAACAAGCAACATGCCTTTAAAAATTAGTCAAGGACAAACCATACCTTAAGGTGCGATTTTGAAAATTATGTTGACCCATCGGCACATCCTATATAAAAAAAGAAACTCTATTAGTGGTGAAAAATTTCTTCAGAAAGAATGTGGTAATTCTAATGATATGGAACATAACTTTCTCCTTTATTCTTTTGAGACAGTATCTCCCTGTAGCCTCAAGCTAGCCTGAAAGTCATTATGTAGACCAGGCTGACCTCAACCTCACAGAGATATTCCTACCTCTGCCTCCTGAGAGGTGGTTAAGATGAAAGTTCAATTCTATTTAAACTCTTTTATATTGTATATGTACATGTTTTAAGATGCTCCTACAGGAGGTTTCAATGTGGCTTCTCCAAAGGTCTTCAGTGTTAGTTGTCCCTCCCCTAACTCCCTTTTCAGTCCCCCCCCCATTCCCCAATGCATTTAACGCTTCCTTTCCCATTACTGGACTCTGTCTTTTGGAGTTGTTGATGTGGTCCCATAGACCCTCCAACGATACTGGCTATTGCCATTACTCTTGGTTACCCACTAAAATTTGATGCCAAGATCTAATTGCTGAAGACACTACATATGTGAGCTGTTGAACAAACAAGGAGAAATCAAGCTGGTACTGACCTCAACATTGGTCTCTACTAACTAGCTTTCATAGTGCTAGAAGGTGCTATGTATGTTACTGAAAGAAAAAGGTAATTATCAACCATACAGCCTGGCAAGACATGCCTACTTGTTCAATAGTGGCAGAGATGTCATAGAGTAATTAAGCACATTCAGATTAGATTTAAGGTCCACTTCACATGATAGAACCTGTCCTAGTTTGTTCTTCATTGCTGTGACAAAATACTCTGGCCACTACCAACTTGGGGAGGAAAGGGTTTATTTAGCTTACATGTCCCGGGTCACAGTTCATCCGGCAGCCCAAGGTATGAGCTCAGGGCAGGAACCTGGAGGCAGGAGCTGGAGCTCACAGGCCATGGAGGAACACTGCTTACTGACTTGCTCCCCTGGCCCCTGCTCAGCTTGCTTTCTTATACAACACAGGCCCATCTGCCCAGGGGTGGTGCCACTCACAGTGGGCTCGGCCCTCCCACATCACTCATCAAGAAGATGCCCCTCAGACAGTCCAATAGAGGAAATTCCTCAATTGAGGCTCCCTCAACCCAGGTGTATCAAGTTGACACTAAAGCTATCCAGCACAATGGACCCCTTGTCAACTTGACACACAAACATCACTATTAAACCATAACTTTCCAATTTCTGTCCCCAAGATATGATGTTAAATCACAACATAACAGCACAACCTTAAAAACCCCACAGTCCTTAAAAAAAATCCAAACACTTAAAAGTCCATAGTCTCTTTTAAAAGTCTCTTAACTGTGGGCTTCTGTAAAATCCAAAACAAGCACTGTCTTATTTCAAAGGGAAGAATCGGGCACACCTAAGCAAAACCAAAGTCCAGCAAAGTAGCTCGAGGCTGGACATCTGGGATTCACTCACGATCTTCTGGCCTCCAAAGGGTTCTGGCAGCCCCACTTCTCTGACTCTGCAGTCCACAGCACACTCAGCTCGTCTCACAGAC